CAGTTATGTAAAAATACTACCGGTTTCCGATAGACCACCAAAATTACGCGACGTCGGACGACATGGGTATATGGTAGGACCTTCTAAGTTTACCTTAGACCTTCTAAGTTTACAGAATTTGGTGCTTAGTACGTAGTTCGGTACTCCTCCGTACTTATGTTTCAAAGCAAAAGCAACGAATATTAACTAAACATTAGAAAAGTTGAGACCTATGACCTCATTCGCGACACTTAGGTGCTAGATGAGATCGGATATTTCATAAGATGACACACGGTAAGTCGCTAGACATTATACAGCTGAGAACCAAAGTTCGGAATCCACGTAAACGTAAAAAGTAGGCCCCAGATAGATTAGCACCGACAGTGCAAAAAGTAGGAGTAAAGAGGACTTAAAATCCAACTACTTTAGGTTATCATTGGGTCATAAGATTAAATAATATTGAAGCAAAATTATTTAAAAATACCTATATACGTCATTTAATGTTAACTTTATTCTTACACTTTATACGTTTTTCTATAAATAAATACAATGATTATTTTCTACAAAATTTTTATTCTAAAATAGTATGTTCTTTTTTGATGAAATATACCTTATTGAAATATATAGGTAGAAATAATAATAGTAAATTTAAGTAAAGTAATATTAATACTGATCACACACACAGTACGTACGTTGATCGAGAGTGGTTTTGCAATGAGTATAATCAGAATAATGTTATAAGTTAAAATATAGTTAATTATTTGTATAGGCTTGGTGCATTTCAGTAGATTTTAAAAATTCCGACCGCGGCGCTCGATACGGCAGAAATCAGAAGTTTTCGGCTTGTATTTCAGGCAGTTCCGATGTTGATCGCATTGACATAATATTAAAATCGTGGCTTTGTGATAATATTCAAGTAGTTTAGTTTTTAATAGTGGAGTTGTTGAAACTATAAAACACTCAGGTACGAGGTTTGTGGGATGTAACGCTGTTTCAGGTAGTAAAAATGAAGTGAAAAATAACGCGAACTGGACGCCTCTTTGTGTTGTGAGAATATCAAATGTTAATAAAAATTGTCGAAAAAATGTTAACACGTAAAGGAGGGCGTGGCGTAATTACGTGGTTGTTATGTGCAATAACATTCAATACTCAACTTTCCCGGCGGATATTCAACTTTTCCATCACAACATTTTAAAGCTTCACAACTTCTCACACCCATTTGATCAAAAGCAAAAATGGATTTAAGCAGCTCGACGCAACAAGTTAGTAAACAAAGTGCCCATTACATAATCAAAAAATTAAATAGGCATTGTACTATATGAAAGGATAAAAATTATAATTTGCAATATTGATGGTATAGTTGTTTTAATCAACTAGTGCTTAATTTTTTTATGAACATCTTCTAAAATTATAATTATGTACCTTTAAAAAAATCTTTATAATCGAAATAGCCCCAGTTATCTCCGCTAGCAAAATCGGTGCGTAAAACTATGCTAGCTACCTACTAATATTTTAAAAGTTTTATTAGCTTGAATAATAAATTATAATACAAGTTAGACCTTCTGAAGATATAAAAATATTTACATTTTATTTTTATTTTTAGAATTTTCACAATTTCCTAACACTTTTAGAATAATTATTTAATAAACTTTTCGTATACTCGCTATTTTTACCCGTGTATTTGTAGTATATGCCGGTTGTTTATGATATTCTCCGATGGTGTGGGAACACTATGAATGCACCAAGCCTATTATAGTCTGCCTAGCGGTATGATTTCGATAGACATCTAATTAATTCCATGAAAGGAAATACTGTATTAAAATACTACTAAGATATTTTAGTAACTTATACACATAATAAACTACTAATAGTTTATTATGTAGTAACAATGTATATACCATAAATTCATGTGCCTGTTCCAATGTATCCATAGCATTCCTTAGTCTTGTTGATAGAAACATTTTTGTTTCGATTAACGCTATATACCGACGTACAACGTCACAAATTGTGCAAAATTCTGGATAGCATTCTATAACATTTGTGAGGAAATCCTAAAAAAGTGTATATTGTTTTATTATTATTTAATTCATATTGGTTCTTTAACCATAATATTTAAAGATATATTATATACATACTTCATATACTCTCCCTCTTCGCAATCGCTTTAAAATTTCCTTATGAACTGTATCGATTTTGTCTATCAATTTTGAGTATGCATTGATTTCGTCTTGCCTGCTTTGAATGAGTTCCGTATTCTCCCGAATTTTCTTTTCAGACCTTAATCTCTTTTCGTTATTTTCTTTAGTAAACTAAAATAAAATTTTTATTTTGAATTGAACTGTAAATTACTTATACCGTTGATGGAAAGAATTGGGAAGATACGCAAACTAATGGGCAAAATCGTGACAAGGCTAATTTTCCCCTTACATCTCAAATGCTGTACGGTGGAGTCTCAACTCATTCTGCGGCCAACGCATAAAACATTATTTTTCTCAAATTCGGCTAGCGAAGGCATATCGAAGACGGTGTGGAACTGAAAGCAACAATGTTGCCATATTAAAATGTGTAATATCTGTAATATGTTTGACGAAAATATCTTTAGATGAAAAATCCGCGTTTATGTATTGAAAATTTATTCTTCTTAAATAGAATAAACAACATATTTTTTTATAGGTACTGAATATTTCGTATGATCAAAAAAAGTCGTTTAGTTGGCTTCGAAATGACGACTATTGACATTTACCATAATATTTTACATATTAAATAACAGCGATCTTCATTTCCAAGCCTTCATTCTAACTAAACAACTCTAACGCCGTTCTTTGTTTAATCATATAATATTATATTAAATTGTTTAACGATAGAAAATCCGTATTATTAACGTACTGTACCCATAATCCGCAAATCTACGAATTGATCCGTAGTTCTGGCAACACTGTCTCCGGCAACCACCCACTCTGTCGACTGAAAGCTGAACTACAGTACAGTATTCTTTATCCGCTGCACTTAAGCGACTATCAGCGCGCAGCGGCGCAGAGCTAAACTAAATCTCGGACAGGTTGACTAGCGGCGACGGTATCGCCAGCTATGTACATCTCGGACAGGTTTTGTCCCAGGAAATCGCCCATAAGGTTGCGCATCTACTTATTTCTTCAATCGACGCTTATACCAATAAACGTACGTTATTAAATAAAATAAAATTGTCCCTTAATTTTTCCTCGTCCTCTTCTAATTTTTCCCACTGTTCCGCAATAGTGTCGTAATGACGAGATTTTCTTCTTCTAAGTGCTCGTAATATTTCTCCAGTTTTATACAGTTTCAGTTGTAGAGAAGCCAGATTAATCGTCATATTACTGTTTGTACTAAGAATTTCGTTTGTTGAACTTTGTCTAGAAATAGAAGTTCCGATTTTTTAATATCACATTTCTAATTAACCTCACTCACTTTTAATTAATATACTTACTGAGTTAATCTCGAAAAATCTTTGGATTCTGCAATTTGACTAACATATTGTTCCGGATGTTTAACGTCGAAATTAAGTTTACATTTACTACCAGAATATTTAACTTTACTTTCAGGCAATACTTTATACCCATCTAATGTATAATCGCCGGTTGCAATACTTTCCCTTAAGGTATCCATTTTTTGTAATTATTTCTATTTGTAATTTTGCCCCTTGAAAAGTATAGGAATGTTTTTATATCATTTAGTCGTAAGAAAATTTATCAACTTTAACCCATACGTCCCATAAGTGACAAGAGATAAAATTTACTGACAGTCATATTGAAAATGCTAAAAAAAGTAGGTAGGTACAAATACCTGTTAACTTAAAAGGTGTTATAACAGAATCACTCTAGTGACATTACGAGGCAGAGGATATATGATAATTTAAGGGCCTGTTATTATCAATAAAATTTGAATGTGTGTATAATTGGTATGGACATTAATTCAGTCAAATTTAGGTTGGCGCCTTTGGTGTTTAACAACAAACAACAAAAAATTACAAATCTCCACCATTAGAATAGATTCTTCCAGGTAACAATCGGCCTGATCCACTAAGATCTTTTCATATCGTTTAAAATCCACCATAATACACCAAAACACCAGCGGCGTAGTGTGGCGTCTATACAAGGTGATATAATAAGTAACTGCAATCTGCAATTAACATTTTACAAACAATTAAGTTTTTTTTCTTTTTTTCTCGCTCTCGCTAACGCTCGTCCGTCAAACGAAAAGCCTCTCCACAAAAAGTGTAATTTTTACTCCTAATAAATCACTATACTATTGCCTTACAACCACATACCCAGTGTTCACTTTTATAAACATTTTCACTAAAATGACGAATACTAATTAATATTCAAAATATGCTTTGGAGGTAGTTTTTCAATAGTTTTTAATTTTCTGAATACAATAAAGTTTTTTTTCTTTTTTTCTCGCTCTCGCTAACGCTCGTCCGTCAAACGAAAAGCCTCTCCACAAAAAGTGTAATTTTTACTCCTAATAAAACACTATACTATTGCCTTACAACCACATACCCAGTGTTCACTTTTATAAACATTTTCACTAAAATGACGAATACTAATTAATATTCAAAATATGCTTTGGAGGTAGTTTTTCAATAGTTTTTAATTTTCTGAATACACCATAGAACTAACGGATGATTAAAAATTATTTCTATTTTACAGCCGTACTGAGAATCGGTCATCGCGACGCGCGCGACGATATTTTTCATTTTACACTGCGAACGAGATGTATTTAAAAGACCGCATCACTCACCGACTAAAACAGCGAACGGGAGACGTAATCGCGGCCGGAAAGTTCGCTGACCTCGGCTCGCGTTCGGCGGCGTTCAACGAAGGAACAGTCGCATCGTCTCGCTGTCGAGAGATATTATTTTTATTTTCAGCATTTAGAGTAGGTCTTAGCGTTATCTATAAAGCTCGACTAATACAAGGCTAATACACACATTAATTAATTGAAATTGAATTTATTTATTTGAATAAATATACAGAGAATTTTAATTTATTATAGGTGATCTCAATGACTTTTTTAAATAAAAACGTATTACAATATTTTGAAGGGATGCGACGCATCAGCCGCATCAATAGAAGCTTCGCCGCTGCAAAACATACCTCATTGTATTGTTCCTCTGATAAATGCATGAGAGAGAAAACAAAGCTAAACTTGAAAAAAATTGGCTACGAAAAAGATTATCACTAAGAAATTAGTGACACTTCGTAATTTTTTTCTGGTTTATTTTTAGGTCGAAAACTAAGTGCACAATGTACATTCTATTTATTTATATTCTTTCTAGTTCCCTACTATGGGTAAAGACCACTATTGTCTTTATAATCTAAGATTCTCTATTTATTCCCTTGGCTTTTTATCGTACTGTACGAATCTTTAGCTTCAATGGACGCCCGAAGATCTTTTTCTTCCATTTCAGTGACTCTTCTATTAATTATTTCGTATTCTCCAATGGCTTGTTTAATAGTAATTAATTGTTTTTCAGTATCGTCAATATACGTTGGTTTAATGCGTTTCCTATGGCATATTTCCAAGTACATTTTTTTGCAAATTTCTTTCACTGCTACCTGAATATCGGAGATATTTTTACTGGATAAAACACTAATAATAGGTGATGATAAACTTACCGTATTTAGTAACATTTCAGTTACTTCTAATTTTGTGTGTTTATGTAGCTGTTCCCATTTGCGACAATTTGATTTAGCCTTTTCGTATCTTTCGTGAAGCACTTGAATTTGATTAGTAATTTTTTCTATTTTCTGGGTGTAATTAGATATTAATTCTTTCTAAAATTAATACATAATATATTCATTATATGCTGTATGTTTATACAGGGTGTCCAAAATTTGTATCTAACTTTGGTGGGTGATTCTACAGATAAAAATAAAACAAAAATATTATAACGAATAATCTACCAAAAGACCCCTGTGACCCTCCGCCTGTTAAATATTGATTCTTCAACGACAAAAGTTCTTAAACTGTTTACGGGTTAATTTATTTAATAAAATGCTTGCACTGTAGTTTTCTCAGCTTTGCATCAATTTTGTTTTGCTACAGAGTTTCTTTTTTGTTTTTTTTTTGCAAGCATCAGCCAATACAATAAAAGCAGCTGCCGCAATTTTCACCTTATCGTCCATATATTTATTTTTTCAACTCACATTAAGCCGGGCACTCGAAAAAACAGCGATTGCCTAAACGCATCCTAGATCTATAGAGTAAACTGGTTCTCGCATTCTTCTACGCACCTCAGTCCTCGGGACTGATGCGATGGGCTGCTGCTGCTACGAGTATATAGTGCTAATTATATATGTTCGCGAACGTTCTGTTCGCTTAGCTTGGACGCGGCTTTAGACGCCATTTCTTTGGACATAACGAATGGTCATCAGCTAGTCATCAGCGACAATTTTAGCGATTTTTAATAGTTGGTTCTGTTAATGAACTTTGTATAAACTTTATTACAATCGTAAGTTGTTCAGTTTTCAAATGTAAAAGGCACAATGATAAGAAAGAGCCAGGAGTTACGTTTTATAGGGAAAAAACAATCCGCTCCACCTTTTTAGCGTTTTTTAATTGCATTTGATTATTTTTCTGATATTATATGTACTTGATATGTGCTATACGTCGATACTAGTTTTGTACCTTTTGTTAACATTTTAATACGTTTTTCTTCTCGTAATTAATTAATATGATACCACCACATACACCATAGGCGTAGTAAAAACATTTATCAAAAATATAAATATCGCTTCAAGCGGCTATGTTACGAAAAATATGTGCCACGGCACTGTTTGGAAGAAAGGTCACAATTTGGTCTCGTGTGTTATTTGTCCTTGTATTCTTTAGTCATTGCAAAATATATTATTTTTATTTAACCTTTCGAGGACTTTACTTCTGCGGGAACCATTTTAGAGGATATGTTGATAAGAACTTTTGCTTTATTTTTTATTTTTATCTGTAAAATCACCCATTGAAAAATCACACAATTGAATTTATTTATTTGAATAAATATACAGAGAATTTTAATTTATTATAGGTGATCTCAATGACTTTTTTAAATAAAAACGTATTACAATATCTTGAAGGGATGCGACGCCCTATTTTTTTGACACCCTGTATATTGTGTTAAATTATAGCATAATATACCTTATATAACTCCATTGGCAACCTTATTATTCTGTATAAATCACAAAATCACCACAGTCTTCTTAAAATAACACAAAACACATAATGAAAGCGGTGTATTTAATTCAAAGTGTACCCTAGTAATAATTGGTAATAGTATCGAAGCTAAATAAGTATATGTACACATTTGTTTAACATGCAAAAAAATGAAAAGTGCAATAATATTATTTAGAAATTTACAAGAGCCATTAAACCAAATTACTAAAAAACAAATATAAAACGTAAATCTACTAAAAAACTTAAAGTATTTACCAGATTACTCTTTGCTTTCTCTAATTTGTTTAAATCGCGTTGCTGGATATCATTTAGTTCCTTTCTAGCTTCAATAAGCGCATCGTACCTGGAAAATTGTTAAAAATGTAAATTCTTACTTTTAATCATATGAAGACTTGAAGTTAATAATGTTCTAAGTCTGCGAAAATCATTATTTTTAGAAAAGAAATTTTTTTGTTAAATAAGCAATGTATAAGAACGGGTGGTGTGTCTGTTGAGAATTTTTTGCGCTTTATACAGGGTGGTTCAAAAAACATGTGCCATCTCTCGTGGGTAGAGTTCTAACGTAAACATAAGATTTATTTTCATATCAAAAAAAAATGTATTAAAAAGTTGTTCAAGTTTTATGCCCTCCAACGGACAAACGAAGAACAATGGTAAAATGTGTGAATGTACTTATTTTGATTCCAAAAAATACGTAGTAGTTCTATGTCCATGTTTCATGGAAACACCCTGTATAATATATTATTTGATGCATAGCATCGTCGAGCGGAACATAGGAAATCCCATGTAAATTTTAATGCGGTCAATTATTGGCTTCCCTAATTATTTTAGAGGATAATTCTATTTAGGTTTATTGAAGAGCACTAAAACCCACATTCAAAAGAATAACTTTAGATATTTTTGATTAGCCCGTTTACGAGTTATCGCTGATTTATTTTTAAATATTTCTCCTTTCCTATGGCCCTGTATTTACTTATGAGCACCAGTCAAGGTAAAAGATAACTGTCAAATGAAGTTGTCATTTCAGAAATTTATCTATTTAGTGCTTTATTATTATTATTATTAAAAACTCATACCTACATCGAAAATATTAGCCATGAATTACACTACCGAAGAAAAAGTATTGATGATTAAATGGTATTATCAAGGAAATAGTTATCAAAAGGTGTCGGACATGTTTGCTGCTCTGTATCCGAATAGACCGATACCTGGAAAATCTACAATCGCAAGGAATATCCAGAGATTTGAGACCAAAGTTACCCTAATAAATAACTGCAGATCTGAAGCAAGGCAGGAACAAAGAGAAGATGCAAGAAATGATACCGACTTGAAAGTTTTATTGTGCGTGGAAGAGAACGATGGAAAGATCCGCACACGGAAACTTGAGGATGAAATAGGAACAGATCACACTACAGCGTTTCGAATTTTGAAATGACATAAATACTATTCCTTCAAATATGAAAAGCACCAAGAACTACGAGATGGGGACGAAATACGGCGGCAGGCGTTTTGTTTTGATATGATGGAAAGAGCAAACACGTACGGATAGCGAATTTTTAAAAAACATATGTTTCACGGACGAATGTACGTTTACCTTAAATAATGAACCCAATGTTCAAAATTATCGATATTGGAACAAAGAAAACCAACACAGGTTTGTCGAAACAAGGACGCAATATCCACAGAAAGTAAATTTTGGGCAGGGATATTCGGACATAATATTATCGGGCCATTATTTCTTACGCGAAATTTAAATGCAGAATATTATTTGGAACTACTCGAAAATCATATTTTACTACGCTAGGGAAAATCAGGAAGTTTGGTACCAAATGGATGGCTGCCCGGCACATAGTACCCTGGCTGTTCGGGAATATTTAGATAATAGTTTTAACGGAAACGTTATTGGCCTAAATCATACAGTAAATTGGCCAGCAAATTTAAAAAACAGGATATACCAGGATAAAAAATACCCAAATCAGAGTTAAAAAATGCTATTTGTGCCGAATGCAATAGAATTTCAGTTTACCAACTAGCGAATGTAAGAAGAAAATTTTATGATCGCCTGGGTTATTGTCTAGCAGTCGATGGAGGAATATTTGAACATCTTAAATCCTAAAGTTCTAACAATTTAATAGGACCTAAATTAATAAGTTATTGAGTATTGTAATAATACTATAATTAACCTTGTAATTGATTACTTTATTTTACTTTAATTCATATTAATTTCTATTTATAAATACATCTTTAAGATTTCCGATGTAGGAATGAGTTTTCAACTATGGTTTTCAACATGTTTTCAATAATAATAAAGCATTAAATAGGTAAATTTCTGAAATGACAACTTCATTTGACAGTTATCTTTTACCTTGACTGGTGCTCATAAGTAAATACAGGGCCATAAGAAAGGAGAAATATTTAAAAATAAATCGGCGATAACTCGTAAACGAGCTAATCCAAAATATCTAAAGTTATTCTTTTGAATGTGGGTTTTAGTGCTCTTCAATAAACCTAAATAGAATTATTCTCTAAAATAATTAGGGAAGCCAATAATTGACCCCATTAAAATTTACATGGAATTTCCTATGTCCCGTCCGACGATGCAACATCCGGTATACATATTATTTGATATAGAAAATAGTGGTTTAATGAATAAAACATTTAAGTGTAATCTGTTTTATGTAATATTTAGAAATATATTAAGGTGCGTTCATACCAGCTACGCCGCTCTGCGCAGCGCCGCTAAAATCATTTTTTTAACATATACTTTTCTGCGCGCTAAAAAAAATACACTTCAAAAGTACATGCTAAAAAAATGTCTGCGCGGCGTGGCGCAGAGCGGCGCAGCCGGTCTGAACGCACCTTTAGAAATAAGATGCTGGTGTGTATGCAAGCACTCTTGGGGGTGGGACGGTAGACCGAATTTTCCCTGGCAACTTCAAAAAGTTCATCTAACGATGGATATATGAGACAATAAGGTTATACATCATGGAAAACCCAGATTTCTTAAGTTGTTTGAACAAAATTTAATACTTAAATTCATTAAAATATATTTCTATATTAGATATTATAATCAAATTTTGAATGTAGACGTTTGATCTTGGCACTGTATTTGAAATTTTGAAATAACCGCTTAACAAATGTTAATATACAGTGTCCTTCCAGTGACAATTTCGATTGATACAGCAAAAAGTATCATAAGGAAAACTTGGGACTATCATAAGGAAATTGATGAGGACAATTTGGGTAGGATATTTTCAATATTTTTGTACTTTCCATTATGTCGGAAGTAGATGTCAACTTGGGTATTTTAAATTTTACATGTCCTATATATATATATATTATTACCAATTTGGTTAAAAGTTCTAATGTTATACGCAGATATCTAAAATATAGAGCAATAAACCCCTATGTACTTCCTATGGATATGAAAATAATAATCGATATTTAGCACCTGGAGTACAATATAAAATAAATTTAATATAAATATAAAATTCCGAAAACATATACCTTTTTAGCAAATCGTTAATAGATTGCATAGAAGAATCATAGTCAACCACTTCCATTAAAAATTCTTCGTATATTCTATAGCGTCCAATATTCGCATCCATTTTTGCTTTAACTTTCTTAATCTGCTCACATATTTCAAGTAAAGCGTTCATTTTTCTTTCTCTTTCCTGTTTTAACGAATTCTGTTCCATTATTTTATTCGCTGCTCGCTCCTTTTTTTCTTGATTTTCTTTAACAAACTAAATAAAGAAAGAAGGTTGCTTTGAATGTGGTAGACAATGAGTCAGTATTAAAACTAAAAGAATTTCGGACTTCCATTGTCTTTATTTATTTTTGCTTACATAACGTTCCGGTCAGAAGTATCATTGACCGTTATCAAGTGTGAACTAAACAATCCTAAAACTACTGAGCTTATATACCGTGTGAAAAAAAACGGAGTCAGTGATGGCTATCAAATGCAGATCGCTGTCATTTTATATGTAAAATGATATGGGGAATGTCATCGGTCGTCATTTCCAAGCCAACTGGACGCCATTTTTTTTATCATACGGTACTAGAGCCAAGCATTCACCGGTGAATTAGTTGGGTGCATTCAAACATGAGGCTCTCCACTAAGAATACCGGCATTGGAGCGTTTTATGAGTGGTTGCCATATTGTTGAAATTTCCATACTTGAATTGCTGAAGATTTTATTATTGTTAGAAATGAATACTGCCTCTTTAAATTTGCGCTTTTTCCAATGAGGTTCATTGTGGACAACCCGGGCTTCCGACCATTTTATGTTGTGGTGCCTGGACCACACATAATCTGCAATGCCCGACTTCATTGTTTCACCTCTTTGCGTATGTTATTTCATGTTCGTCGAGTCGTACATGTAGAGGACGTTTTGCCTCTCCAATATACGACTCACCACTCACCGCACTCGCAAGGTACCTGCATGGTAGATGCGCTCTTTTTCTTGGTTTGATGATTCCGGTTTTGTTTTTGTTAGGACAATACTTAGAGTAGTCCCAGACATAAAAACAGTTTTAATTTTATACGGCTTAGCAATTTTCCGATGTTCCTTTCACATCTGGAATCGTTAAAAGAGAGATAGAGCATCCTCCTCAGGTTGGCACACCATGAGTCAGACTTGCAATTGGATATAATATTGTTACGGATTCCGTGGGTCCACTATTTAAACTCACGATAAAATACTTAACGAATTTATTTGTCTCACTCTGTACACACAACTTATACTATTTACAACACAATTTATGCAACTACTATTACTCTAACGGTATTTCGCGGTATTATCAAACTTCAGACTTCAGACTTTCAGACTTGTCCAACTGTCAAAGCGCGGGCCTTATATACCCCCTGGCGATTGTTTCTGGAATTTTCTAAAGAATTCTGTAATTTTCTTTTACTTTCTATCGAATTCGCCAGGTTCCTCAATGCACGTTGCGGTTATGCAACCAGTAATACACCTTGACAATATCGTCTAAAGGGTCCCGGAGACGATCAATAATATTGTCAATGGTACTCATTGATGCACCTAATTGATCGTGTAGGAAGCGATTGACGCCATTTGTCTCTCCGTCAATCGATTGATAGCATTTTTGATTGAAGCACATTGACGGAGATCATTGACACATCGCAATTGAACGTGTAATTGGGAAATTGACAATCGTTCAGTCAGTTGTTTACCAGACGGCAACAATGACGGACACGGGTTATACGCCACAGGGCTCTGTGTAACCCGAAAACATTAATCCTAAGGTTCACTATTTCGCAGAAATTTTAGCAAATGTTCATGGGTAAAGCGGCTTCTCAATTTATACCACTCTTTTGACCAGCGTCTCCTCCTCTTCGCTTTTTTCTTGGCTTTTTTTGTCTGCAAACAGCTACAGTTAAGGCTAGAAAGTCCATATCTATATTTGACATCATTATATGTATAAATAATAAACCACCCGATTGGTAAGAAATTAATTTAACAACTAAATATTCATGTGTTCATTGAACCTCCACCAATCGCAATTGCAATTAAAATCATCAATTTTATTACCAATATTATTGACCGTCTGCGGGCCACTTAAGGATTTTGCAGAGTAACCATTCTGAAGCAAATTGGTTTTAATATTACTTAGTTCAGAATTCAAAGATTCTTGATCACTGCATATAGTGATTGCATGATTGCTCTATGACATAATGTTTTAACTTAAATAAAAAACTAAATAAAAAGCATAACATTTTAATTTTTTCAGATAAAAAAAATGAGATTTGGTATGTTAATATAAGACATAAATTAGGATTGATTGACGTATTCAGTTGTTTTCTGCCACTGTCACTTTCTGTTTCACCGGAAATGACTACAACTTTTGATTTTTAAATGGTACCCTCGGTGTTTTGTTGCTTTATTCGATAGAAAATGACACCCTGAATAGAATGCGACATATCATATGTAAACTTTTGACATTTTCGAATATGGTTTATTTGAAATTGCAACAAACAACAAATTCAAACAATGCGATTCATAGCGACAATTTAACTAGAAATACTAAGTGTGTGGTACCAAATTATTCGTAAAAATGCTTTTTCCAAATATGCTAACGAGCCACCCTCGTTCCATTTGAAAAATTGAGATATGATTAAAAATACCATTTGAGCATCTTTTAACCGGCCAGGACAAGACACTAAAAACTTTAGACAATCAAATAATCTATTTTTCCAAGGCTCCTTGATTAAAAATTGGCGTTTTTAACACAGCCATGGCACTATAGATTGTAATTTAAAATACCATAATTTTGTTTTAAGCGAAAATGTCAAAAGTTGACATATGATATGTCATTCTGTTCAGAATGTTATTTTCTATCGAATAAAGTAAAAAAATACGAAGGGTGCCATTTAAAAATTAAAAGTTGTAAGCATTTCCGGTGTAACAGGAAGTGACCGAAAGTAGTTGAATACGCCAATCAATCATAATTTATGTTTTATATTAACATACTAAATCTCATTTTTTTATCTGAAAAAATAAAAAAGTTATAGGGGGTGAGCCACTTTTGAGACGCACCCAGTATATATTTGCTATCACTGGAGAGAGCGAGGATCCATAAGTAAATCATCATTATTTTGAGCATAAAACTTTTCTTTGACTTGAAAGTAAGAATTATATGCATACAGTACCTCAAGAGCCCGATCACTCCCCTAAGAGCCAGCGAAGTCCTTTCGGAAAGCAACATGAACTACAGTCTTTCTCATGTAACTTATCCCAACTCGGTGAAATTGCTTAATGTAGGTTTACATGCATCCGGCATACTTATGCGGCATACGTCTTCTGTCATTGATTTTATGTAATTTTAGTGGTTTATTTCAAAAATTACATCTCATACCAGAGCTCATACTTAAACATGCATGTAGATAAGAGCGCTTATGGCCCTGCCACACACTCGTCGAGTGGCATAGGAAGTAGCGAGGGAAGGAGGCAGAAACGTAGTGTGGCAACATTACTCGTCCTCGTCATGCTGCATATCATGCTTCACGTCCAGCAAACCATTCCCTGTTTTGTCGGTTTTTTGGGCGCGAGTCAAAGGAGCGGCAATACAGCGGCGCGCAGAGCGTTGCGAGTAATTACGCGAGCGGAGCAGAATGTGGACGGAGAGGACAACATTGCGGTAGCACGAGGAATAGGGCGATGAGCAGCGCGAGGAGCAAGCATAGTGTGGCAAAGGCATTACACACATCGGCAAAATCAGAGGCTGTGCCGGTGCTGGAATCGATCGCAAATAAATACATATACTCCCATCAGTCCCATCTGGTAAATTAGTCGGTCCGGCAGCATAGGCAGGCAATGACTATAGACTTGGAGAGCTTACACACACACCGGCAAAATTGAAATCGGTGCCGGCGCCGGCTTTGCACACGTTCCGACAGTATTTATTTTTATTGTATGTACCGGTCCATGACTAATTTACTATTTATTTCGGAGTATATGTGAAGGAGCTAATTTATTTGTATTGCAATCGATTCTACCACCGACCGGCACCGATTTTGCCGGTGCCGGTCTTTTCATTTTTTTCACATATGTTCCGAAAAGTATATTTAATTCTATAGTAGTTGCCGCCCTGTTGGTCCTATGCTGCCGGATCGACTAATTTCACCTTTCAGAACGTGAGAAAATTCGGCTCCGACATCGACACAGATGTACATCTGCACCGACACCGATTTTGCCGGTGTGTAAGCAAGGGCTCTAAAAGATAAACCAGCTAATGCGAGCCGGTTTATAATCTGAAAGGTTTAAGCTGCAAATCCCAAAACGCGCGTACGGATTATTGAGATGCGACCGGATTATTGAGATGCGACCGGATTATCATTGAAAAAATTTCCCATCTGGATTACTGAATGACTGGATTATTATGCGCCCGGACTAAGGAGAAGTTACGCTACTGTATATTAGGAATAAATAATGTCGAGACGCCATAGAAGAAAAAAATATATTTCTTTTGTTGCTATATAGGAACAGAGTGTTGAATGAAAATGATGAATTGTTCAAATAATTATACACATAATTTTAGTATATACATACCTGATTAAACCGGATAAAATTTTGCCTAAAACTCTCTTCTTTGACTTGCAAATCCTTCCACATTTCAAGTACACACTTCCTCTTTTGCTGGTATGCATTTCTTTTAGCAGTTAATTTTCTAGTTGTTTTTTCAAGTTGTTGCGTTGCTATATAATTCGAAATAATTACGTTCATCCGTTCAATATCATCTCCAGTATTAGGGTTTCTAAAAAATAGTTATACATATTACGTACCATCAGCGTCGACTTGTAATAAAAAAGAAAATTCTTACGCAATTTTAATACTGCTTTCTGCTACCTTCGAAGCAAAATATTCTCCGACATACTCATAGTTCGGTTTCTTAGGAAAAACCATTTTATCGAAAACGGTCGTGTTCTTTGTAAAATTCATCTCAAATTAAACTTTATGTATAAAGCTTTGTATAAAGCAATAATAAATGTAAACTGACAATGACAATACGTTTTAAATCGCAAAATAATTATGTTTTGTCAATAATAAATAGGGTGCGTATAGTTTCTAAGAAACGAAGAAACCACAAATTTGAATTTGAATTTTGCTCTTGCGCATTGCAATCACCAGAGTGCTCTGTGTTGAATTGGCTCAAATTTGTTATCTGTGGTGGAGTCAGGGACGAGTATGTAATATAGTAGCACAGAATATCTTGCGTAGCTAGATATTCTGAGATAGTAGGTATATGATTATGATATATTAAAAATTGGTGAAAAATAAAATATATGTGAAAACTAAAAACAAAAATAGTAATTGTATAATAAAAAATAGTAAATGTCACCGACTAGTAACTCCTTGAAAAATCCGAAAGGGAAGAAGTAAGATCAGGGAACCTGCTATATATAACTTTACGTGTAAAAAACTATTTGTTACACGTAAAAAACTCTTTTTTGCACCCAAAAACTATTCTTTTACCCGTATAAAACTATTTGTTACACGTAAAAAACTATTTTTTTACGCGTAAAAAATATTTTTTTAATTTATATTACTTTTTCAACATTTCAAACTACACTTTATGCGCACAAGATGCGCACATAGTGCACACACACTTTTTTTTTAATTCGTTTGTATTTTTTACGTTTTCGCAAGCATTTCGCAAGATGTAAAAAACTAATGGTCTTAAAGGAAAAACATTAATTTCTAAAAATGAGCGAAGTTTTTCACTTTCTTTGGAAAATCTAAAATAAAACCGTTTCTTACGCGTAAAGAACTACCCACTTTTTTAAAGATTTATGGTTTTTGACATAGAATTAAAAATATAGTTTTTGACATGCTCAACCCATATTATACTTTCATTCTGTGGTTTACCTTTGCGTCAGGCTTCATTTTGATTGGCTATGAATATGGCACTTGTCACTTTTATGGTAAAATGATCATATGGAGAAATGCACCTTTCAACGTCGACTTTTTTAATTCATGAAAATTGTAAACTGGTCGGCCATGTTGAATGGGTGTGCATTTTGATCTGTCAACTCGTCAGTAACCTCTAGACTTAAAAAAAAATATTAAAATTGTATTTGGAAAAGTTTCAGTACTATCGCCCCGGTTTCTTCGGGTAAAGATTTACTTATAGTTGGTGTCACATCGTCGAAACAAGCGAAAAAATGACGCAGCCTACCTTGCTGCCTATAAGATTCCAAGAACATTTACAGGTAAGTGTCAAATACGCCCCCCGAAGATTTTATTTACAGCTGTAAATGATTTAAGGTGTAACTAAAGCATTCTAAAATTATTCTTCAATGTATACGCTTTATAAATGTTGTTTATTATATATTAAGCATTGAAAAAATCATTTTTTTTTAACCGGCAGGTAGTCATTTTGACATTCGATTTCTACGAATTAAAAGCGGGGGCAGATTTTTCTTCTTCCTATTGTTCCCTAAAATACAGGAGTATTATTTATAAAGTGTAATTTGTGTCTATTTATCAATTAACAGTGGTATACCAGTAATATTTTACATATAAGTAGGTAGTTAAAATAGGTCAAGCACAGGGTGTTTTATGGTATACCTAGGTACAGATATTTAAAATTCGCTGCTGGCCTAATATGACTAATCTGCTAATACCATAATAAATATACACTTTGAAATAGTTTTATATTAAAAATAATATATGTTTTTTTATTTTCTTTATTAGCCACCTGTCTATCCTTCTGTACCTATCCTTTGTGTTAAAAAAATAATGTTTATACCTCGGTTTCTATTCTCTGCTCGGTTTATACTACTTTTATTGATGCAAATTTTATGATAATAATATTCTGTTAATATAACATCCCTTATTATATATTTATACTTGTGGTTCAATAGCGTTTTAATATATCCTATAGGTAGTGTAAGTAATAAAAAAGAGAGAATAGTAATACAAATTCTGAAATAAAATCTGTCCAACCAAAGAAAGAAGGATTTCAATAGATATTACCTGTGATATCATAGGTAAATAAAATGACGTCAAATACCTTCCTACAATCTGATTTTGAATTAAAATGACGCAACTATTGTTATAGGTACCTAGGTATATTCTTTCTTTGGGCAAACTATCTACATCTACAAACAAAATACTTTTTCTGCAAATAATTTTGAGGTACTATAATTTAGAGATTGCAAATTTATTCACTTTTTAAATAACTGGTAATTGGTAATCTAAAACAGGAATTACCAGTAGGTATTTACCGTTTTATAAAAAAAATTGTGTATGCACTATGTGTCCATATTTGAAGTGAAACTTCTTACTTCCGTCTGTCCGTCTGAGGACTCCATTCGGGTATCTCTATCCACGTGCCGAGTTCCAATCGACCCATAATCCATAATTAAGAAAAATCCTGATGATTTCGTCCATTTAGAGGAATCGGTTCAAAACGTCGAGGACGTCATCCTGTAGCCCGTCTCCAATTAGGCCGAAATCGACCCACATTTTTCTTCAATATCGAATCCTTAGTCCCACCCTGATTAAGATGTAAACGAAACGTCGTATCCAACTTTGCAGGGTAGAACCTGGGCTGCATTTCCGCCTAGGCCTGCAAGGCCCAGGCCTAGGGGCCCAGCCAGCCTAGGGGCCCCATGCAATGAGCGGCGCGCAACTTTTATACTAAGGCTGGCAAAGGTTAGTCTTGGGTCGAGATTTCCGTATGTAAGAAGAGTACAATGGCGTTTATAATGTACTGAACAAAGAGAGAACAGTAAACACGTTGCCAAACGTATGAAATAAATAGAGAAACTGTGCTGTGCACATTGCTAAGAGACGTGGAAGGGGATATAGCAGATTTGTCGCAGTTGACCGGTCGACCCAATCAATACCCCTGTCAGTACTTAAAGTTCTAGGGAAAGGTCTACGTCATGCGTTCGGCTTCACGATTTTATTACGTCTCGTGATACTTGATTTGTTTATTTATTAATGAGTCGTTGTAATTTTCCCTATAGCTTGAATTTTTTTAAGTGCAAGCTAAAAACACATGCATTTTTGGTAAAAATAAGTGGAATTGAGTGGGTGTTCGATAGTGGTCGCGCTATGCTCTGTTCATCGTTGCCACTATCTGTTCGATAGTGGTCGCGGTGGTGCTGAAAATTGCTATGCTCTAAAAGTAAATGGATAGATTGTTTACAATTTTTGAATGGAAAAAACCTTGAAAATAAAAAAAAAAGATTCAATATCTAAAGGGGTTCTTGAGTTATGGCCTGTTATATGTTAAAAAGTTGAGTTTTTAAATTATCGCGATTACTGACGTTTTCTCGTTATAAAAAAATGACACCCAACGATATCCTTATAATTCCATTTCAGATACTCAGAAACATGTCTAATGATTTTATCTAGTTATTTCTTGAAAAAAAAAGTCTTTTAAAAATAAGCGGTTTGCGATCGTGATTTTACTTTACTTGATAGGGAAAGGCGTATCGGCAGCGCCGCAACAGCACACCGTCGCGCGTCGCGCGTCTCGTTTCTCTCACTCCGACTTAATAAGATCCCTATGCGATTTACTTCCACACATGTAAATGCCGACCCAAAAGTAACAGTTGCCAGCACGGTATATACGCTCAAAAGCCTGGCTTATCAAAACGCTTAAAGGTTAAAAGTTTAAAACGACATTATTTTTCACCGGTAAATTTCCAAATTGGCTATGACATGGGGGGGGGGCCCAAATGTCAAGTGCCTAGGGGCCCTGGATATCTAAGTCCGGCACTGGGTCGAACCGTGTGCATCGTCGCTCACGCCTACCCACGGAATTTAGTCGTGATCGGAAGACATCAACTTTTGGCGTTTCTTACGTCAAAACTAATAATTGTCACACTGACACGTGTCGTGTCGTATACGATCAAGTTGGCCTTGGTCCAATCTATCGACATACCAGATTTCATTTAAATCAGACAATTTTTTGATTTGATCCATTAATGGGAGTTTGTAGTGCACGAAACGTCAAAATATAACGAAAAGATCACAATACAATCTAAGATTCAGCCCCCCCCCCCCCTAACTCACATAGGGTCTACGACGCTGCAAAGACCCATATCAACTTCCTCCAATTAGTGTTTCCGTGTGTAGGCAGCTATTGACTTACCACACTAGCCCGTGTGTCAAGGCCGTGACCACGACACGGCCTTGAATTTTTACTCCCATCGCGCGTAAAGAAGTTTCACTTTAAAAATAAATGGGTATCTATAAAAGCTCCCGTATGATTGAAAAAAACGGAGTCCAGTTGGCTTAGAAATGAACATCGATGACATTCCCGATATAATTTTACATATATAAAATAACAGCGATCTTCAATCTTCATTTTATAGCCATCGCTGACGCCGTTTTTTTTTTCATATTGTACATTTATCAAATCCAATTTTATTATCACAAAAAAAATATTTTAACTGAAAACAATAGTAAAAATAATATTAAATGAAAATACCGTATGATCGACAAAAAACGGCGTCCAGTTTGCTGGGAAATGAACATCGATGACATTTCCCATATAAAATGACAGCGATCTTCATTCCATAGCCATCGCTGACGCCGTTTTTTCTCGATCATAGGGTACGAAATCCTATATTATTCGAAAAGTACTAATTGTATTGTAGGAACTTGTAACAAAACGCATTGTAAGAACATGTATAGTACAGTATAAAGAAATAATATTAGATTTTATTAGAAAATAGTTAACACAATAGGTACTATTTAAGTACTTATAATTTACTTAGCTTAGGTGTCTGAATAGTTAGTGAGTCTCTTCTCATTAACCTATTGACTGTGCTATTGATCTTTTGTTTATTGGATAAAACAAAACTCTTCGAGGCTATCAAGGCCTTGAATAGTACTGCGTTTGGGTTAATTTAGCTTCTGGTTTCTAGCCTAGTATATATTTATTTTTTTAACCGTTACTGCAATTACCATATTGTACTATAGAATAATAGAAACACTAATTATAGTATTATAGTAATGGAGGTAATATAATAGAAAATATATTTCTTAATATGTTATAGTTCTAAGGAAAAGTTACACTTTGGTTACACAGTGTGAACGACTAATTAAAATTATATTTTTATTTTCGTTGCAAGTCAACTACTTTTGCTGCATGTCATATTCTCTCGTCTCTACTCTGGTGTCTAATGACTAAAGCAAGGACAACTTTAATATGCACTTAACACTTTATCTCCTCCTCTGTAATTAAGCACAATATGTTAGGCTGATTGATTGATTATAGTAGACAATTATTAGGCAGATAAATAATCTAGTGATAAACCAACAGCAAAATTATCCCTTGACTAATTTCTAGTTCGTGAATTTTAACCTTTATAATTTTTTCATGTAAGTATTGTAAAACTTAAAGTATTGTTAGTCTGTTCTGCAAGCGAATGGATAATTTCGACAGGCGACGCAAGACGTTAAAAAATGACGAAAAATACAATCTACGTTGGTGAGACTATATCGATATATTTAAAGAAATAAAACTCCTCTCAATTCATTAGTCTTCTGACAACTTCTGATAACTTCTGATGTTATTAACCCAATATATTAATATACAGGGTGAGTCTTAAATAAGTGCAAATATTTTCAGTGGTGGTATATTTCCACCCCAGGAACACGTCTATGAGGTTTTTTTTTCTAAAAAAAGATTTTGAAAGTCGTGTATTTTCTTTTAAATTTCCCTTTTTTAATTATATTTTTCGAAAACTTAACTGCCCGTTCACCGCAAATTTTCCCCCACGGTATAGTTTCTTAATCTTACGGCCTTACTCTATGGTTACGGCAATAAAAGGGATGCAAATACAGAAAATTCCGGTGGCTCTCAAAATTTAAAAAAAATAATTTTTTTTTTAAATTTTCAAACTAAATAACTCTGTTATTTTGGACTTATCTGAAAAATGGTAGAGAAATATGTTTCTTTTATCGAGATCTACCAGCCTTGAAAATATTTACACTTATTTAAGACGCACCCTGTATAAATAAATTACAAATAAGGACTTGATTGTAATGTTTTTTTTTAAATAATACACCTTTTGGAGTTATCATGATTGAGATACATTTCTGATAATTATATCTGTTTCACGGTGAAAGTTTCACGTGTCTTGTTTAAATGGTGATATTTATGCTCTATAGAGAAATCCAGAAATATTAAAGTCGCTAACGATATACGCAATGCTTTGTTTCATTCTTAGTTTCATTAGTATTATAG